CAAGATGAGATCCACTGGCACGAGGACAATGATGTGTTTGGCCAGGCAAAAGCACAATGGCCAGTCAGAAAAGACTAACGCCTTGATAATACAGGAAATAAAACTGAAAGGGCACCAAGAAGGTGCCACAGTGCAGAGCGGCAACTGATGGGACCACAACGATGGCCACACAGATGCTCAGCCACAGAGGACAGCACAGGAGCATGGGACATGCTCCGGAAGCACAAAGAGCAGTAACATCAAGCACTAGGAAATTAATGAAATTAATGAAACACTATATACTCCTTAAGAGCAACTGAGTTTGCTTAGTATCCCACATAATTTGTTTTCAGATGAAGCATCAAACGAACACAGGGAGAAGCCAGCATGGGATACGCAGTTGCTCAAAGATTGGTGTATTTTCATACAGTAACGCCGCAATCTAGCTAATCCCTCACCCTACACCAACAGGCACTTCAACCGCCTCTTGGAGGAGGGAATCAAACCCTAATCACATTCATGTTGATAGTGTACCCAAAGTACTATGCAATGAACTAACTGAAACAGGAGAACTTTCCACGCCACCCAGTGCCCTTCATGTAGCAAATAATTTTTGTGTTATCCAGCAACTGATGAATGTAGAATACATAGGAATGCCAAAAGAGCTAGAACTGAGGATGGGCAACAATACTCATTCTTTTGGGGTGTCAAATGACAAACTATGGAACCATGCTTCTCGTTTAGCCTTTTACTAACCTGAACTAACTAGATTTTTTTCTTGCTCAGTGACCAAACTTTATCAGAATCAAGATTGCTACTACACATACATTTAAAATTTCTCACTGGCTCTCTAGACCTTCCTGCCTTAACAGTCTGTCTGCTCTGGATGCTGTCAGGAGATGACCATACTATAGAAGTGCTGGATGTTTAGAGCCTGGAATCTCAAATACTGGTTTGGGATTCTAGATCTTTATTATTCTCGATTTGGATCTAGGAAACAAGGTCAGTAGTTCCAAAATGCTTTATCACAGCTAGTCTTTATTGTTATTTAAAAAGGGATTTATGTGCATGACTTTCAAAAGCTTCCACTTTTGTGCAGCACATTTCAGTTACCATTTTTATATATTAAAACAAACATGTCTTCACTTAATAAGTAAGCCAGTCTAGCTTTGCAAGACAAAACAGTCAACCCTGCGTCTTTTATTGCACCTCCTTAGAATCAAATGAATGATTCTAAACAGCTCTAATGCACCTCTGAGCCTTACCATAATACAAGCAGTGAGGAATATTCAGTGACCAGGCTTTATAGGCAAAAGCTGTTAACGGGTCCTGCCAGCCATGGCACTGCTGTGCTCCTCATGGCAGCATCCATCTACACACTGTAGGTAAAGGAATGCAGGTTCCTAAAAGGCCCAAAAAGGGCCAAAAAAACAGATCCAATACTGGACTTCAGCTCATTTACAGAGTACCAGGACTTCCAGACCAGAACCCCTAGTAGTTAGATTACAAGTTTAAGTTTCTCTTAGAGCAGGAGTGCTGAAGGTGAGTAGTTGCATAAACACTTCTCTTAGAAAGAAAACTAGGAGGCCAAGTTCATCTAGGTGTAGGCATTTCTGTGTGGTGAACATGAATGTGTCGATAGCTACCACTGGATAGCTAGAGCCTATAGAGCCTTAAACCTCTTGTTTATCTAGCCCCTTCAGTAGGTAAATTTCTAACAACATTTTAAAAAGTGACAAAAAATCTTTACTACTTGTCAATCCCAACTTTATTTCATAGCTCATGTAGCCACAGTGTCATATATGTTTAGTTGCTGATTATTCTAGCTTCCATGCAGTACCTAAAATCCAGAAGACAGCTTAATGAGGCTCAGTCTAAAAAAAACCAACAATCTACATGTAATTTATGTACAGTTTTTTTTATCAAGATAATCAGGTAACACTACAAAACGTGGAAGGAGTATTTGTTAATAACAGCTTAGAAAGGCTGCAAAACAGATATGTGATCTGCACTGCCAAAAAAAAAGAAAGGGCACAACATGCACAACAACACTGCTTAAGAATCCTTTCCAGAGAAAGTTTTGTCCAGATTCCTGTTCAAAGCATACTGGACTCCATGTGAATTTCTCCACTAAAGTTTAGAGGCTCTGGGCTAACTCTGTGAAAAGAAGAAATCCTCCAAGGGAAAAAAGGGCAAAAATGACCCTTGCAACTTTGGGGATAAATTCATCTCCTGTTTATACAGGTCAACCACAGCAATTTTCCTGGCACAGTGAAAGAAAATTAGAACTGATTTATTGTATGGTACTATCACAAAGGTGCCTGTGGCCAGGAATCAGGAACAGTTTTACTACAAATTAGTCACCTTTGTAACCAAAAAAGGACTGAGTCCCATGAGCAGGGTTCTGATCCTTCAACAGACTCCACTGTGTGGCTCAAATCTAAATTAGTAAATTAGCTGAAGTCTTCCAGAAAACAAAAACAAACAACATATCAAATTGTTAAAAGTTAACAAATATCAGTCAGGTATCTAACAAACTTTGATAATTCATCCTTACTTTATTCTCCTGCAGCTGCATTTGAGTTCATCTTTCTGGCACTGTGGTACCACAAAGCTATTCATCAGATCCTTCTTGTAGAGTACATATGCTTCATGTAAAGGTATGTTCCTAGTAAGTAAATGTAGTAGTGTGGTGCATTTAAAGCAGTGTAGTGAGTATAGTGGAGAGAATGAGGACAAAGGATAGAAGACATAAATATACTTTTTTTTTTGTAGCTGAAGTATATATTTCTGAAAATGAGAAAACTACTATTTTATCTGTGTGTTTATTATTGTGTATTGAGGAAATATACTGGTGCTTTCCACTGAATTCCATTCAGATCTTTGTGAAATCTTTCATTTGGCATTCACACAGAAGTGACCCAAGGACTGCAGAAGGCAGACGCATCATTTGTCATCTAAAAGAAAAACAAATAGAATGGTTAATACTATTCGAGTAGCTTCCCAAACTGTCCCAACTAGCTCTCAAAACCACATGACTCCAAGGCAACCTGAAGTCACTCAGCAGAGTGCACTGTGAGAGACAGATGGGAAATACCCATAGGAGGTGGCTACAAGGAATGTGAGTGACAACTGGGATCGGGGCAGAGCACAGATGGAGAAACACAGTACCTGCATTAGTGGATCTCACCTCCAGCAAGTTCCTGCCATGAGAACCAAACTTCAGAGCTACTGACTTGAGGGCCAGTGACTCCCTGGCACAGAAATACTAGCTACTGAGAGAATCTGTGAGAATCCAAGAATTTCTACAGCAGAATTTCTCAGCAGGGGTTCTGACCCCTGGATATTTATACTGCCTTGTGAAACAAGGTGAATTAAGTGACTGATTCAGGGAACACCTGTGGGAACACCTGGTAGGAGTTGAAGCTGCTTGGAGGATGATCTAGCATACACTGCCTGCTGCTAATATTTAAACTTAATTGGGATCTGACATAGCAGAGAAAAGGAGGAAGCTTCAGGGAGAATGGGGACTATGAAATTTACAGAATTTTCAAGGAAAGCACAGGTTATACAAAACAAGGGAGATTCTAATGCAATTCTTGAATGGCATTTGCTAGAATAGCTTGTGTGAGTAAGATTTATTACTGGGCATTTCAATGTGAAGAAGCTGCAGCATGATATTGCTGTCTACAAAACATGATCCATTGGAGACAGTCATCACACTATAAAGGTAGGGTCCTGAAAGGCATAAGTTCTCCCCAGAGATATTTAAAACATACCCTTTCCCGATCTTCCTGTTACCATCTCAGTAAAGTCATCTGCACAGGCTGCTCGTATTTGTTCAGGGGTCAATGGGCTGTGCAGTGTGAAGGCTTTGCTTAATCCTCTTTCATTCCTCACACTAGTCACTGCATCTCTCAAAGCAAAGAACACAGAGCATCCCAAGAACAATCCTGCCTCACCTATACCCTGAAAGAGACCAAAAAGTGTAGGTTTTGATCAACTGAGAGGAATAAAAGTCATTTCAGTATCACTGAAAAGCTTTAAAATCAGTAAATTAAGTCCTTCACTCTTTTAATATGGAAGTTTTACTTAGGTTCAACAGAGGCAAGTTTTTATCACAGCAATTCTTATGCTGCTAGCTGATTACTGGGATATAAAGGTTGATTTCAGGTTATCAGCTATTGGTTTTACTTTTTTTTTTAATGTCTCACTAAACTGAAATAAGACTGACAAGTAAAATCCAAATCCAGGTAGAGCTATGATTAAAAAGCAAAGCCTGAACTCAAACTAATTCCCTAAAGAGAAACAATGCAGGCCTCTGTGAGCTTGATGTCCTCTCACTGTTTCAAACATGGGATTTACATTTGCTCATTATCTCAAAAAGGGATCAAATCTACCCTTATTCCATAGTTCTCTCATTGTTGAGGTATTGAACCTTTTAATCTGGCTTGAATTTGGATATTGCAAATGAATTTTACTTTTCTGCTTGCCAATATCTGAGAATCAGATGTTTCCCAAAACATGCTCTCTGAAGAGGAGGAACTAGAAGCTTATAAGCATTCCGTATCAGTGTAATTGCTTTGATTGTCCCAAGATTAGAGAATCAGCCCCTGTGATGGTCTGCTTACCTTGGATGCATAAATGGCATAAGGATTTTGGGAAGATGACAGCAGGGAAACACTGAACTGTTCTGGAATATCACAAACAGCGGGGATTTTATACTGATCTGGACCCCGTGTATAAAGGACTCCTTCTGGAGAGTGCCTTAATTCCTCCATTGTGTAAAGTCCAATGCCTTGGACAAAGGCACCTTCAATCTTTAAATAAGGAGAAACATAATTCATCTTCTCATATTTGGTAAAACAGGTACAATTTAGGCAAGAACTGATCCATATCATCAGATATTAGAAGACCATTTACTTTCACGTTTGACTAGTGGAATTCCTGAACCTGTTGGTGCTATCGTGATGGGGAAAAGTTTCACACTCCTCTCTCACATTAGGCAGAGAAAAGTGCATTCCTGATCAAATAGTGAGATCTGTGGACCAACTTGCATGAAAAGAACCTGTTTCTTTGCAGTTGGCAAGGCAGCTCATGTAACAGGAGAAATTGGAGACTGTAGATCAAAATTGAGATTTAAATCTAGCAGATCATGGGCACATACATAAATTACAGATACAGATACACACACACACATATATAAAGTATTAAAGATTGATGAGAGAGATGGATAAAATTCAAGCTTCGTTGACCTCTATAGGAGCTTTGAAACTGACTCAAATGCAAAACTATGGGGGCAAGGACTTCATAAAATGACCTATAACATTATCCAGTAAGAAATTAATATTCTCTAAACTAAAAAGTTGATATTCACTTCAGATAAAAGACTCGTTCGTCTAGCAGAAATAAGACAGAAACTTCTTGGCACATACCTGTCCTATATCCACAGCTGGATTTATGCTGCATCCAATATCCATAACAATGTCTGTTCTGACATTCTGTCAATAAAATTCAAGTGCATATTACAAGAAGACATGCACAGAATAGAGGCATTAGAATACACTGTGGGCTACAACTGGTATTCACTGAGATAATATTTGACAAAGAGACTCCCCTCCAGGTACGCAATTTAAAGTAATCTCCAATACTCCATTATAAGTAAAATGGGCTTGTGTCAACTCCAATGCAATTTTAGCCAGAGAAAATTCTCACAGAAGTCAGTTCTATGTCCAGCAGATAGTGTGTGCAAGGTCAGAGAATTATGACATCCAGCTACCTAGATGGTCAAGAGACTGGAAATAGAACAGGAAGCTCTGCTGTAATTAGCTGCTAGCAAGCATGGAAAGAACAAGTAGAGAATATGTGTTGTGTGCCATAACCATAAAGATGAAACAATACAGCATTAACACAGAAGTGCTAGAAGTTGATTAATAGTGTACAGTTTTCATTCTGCTCAACCTGCAATTTTCATTCATTGATATTTTTGATTTTTCTACAATCATATGAACACAGGTAATTTATTAATGCAGAACTTATGGCTGTTGGAGCATCCAGTAAGGCAAACAAATCCAGTAAAACCTCATTTACATTACCAAAACATATGAGACACTCATTTTTACCTTGTGATCTCCTGTTAAGCAGTTAATTTCAACCTCTGAACAAGCAGCTCCATAAAGAAAATATGTGAAAGGCTGCCCTTCCCCTTTCTCCCAATCCATATTTTCATTGTAACCTCTGGTGGGAAAAAAAAAAATAATAATCCACACATTCAGGCCAGCCATGAATGAGCAGTACACTATACACAACAGACCCCCCTAAATAAAGCAATTACATAAAACATAAGATGAGCGATTAAAAAACAAACAAACAAACAAAATCACACACCCCAATGGACAAGATCTCCTATGCACTACATGGGATATCTTCAGAAATCAGTTTATCCTTCACTGTGCACGCAAGTTTAAGAGACAAAAATATGTTACCTAAAGTAGCCAGTAGCTGAAAGACTCACACTCTGTTCAAAAGCTTCTTTAACCTGTTGAATACAGTAGTGTTTGTAATATGTCAGTGACTCAGGAAGTTACACAGCAGAGACATATTTATTAAAAAAAAAAAAAAGAAACAAACTATAACAAGCTGGTAAAGACATGTAGACTTTCAAGAAATGTTTAGCTGCACATGGTGCCTAATACTTATGGCACTAAGCCACCTCTGGAGGAGCAACCTGAATTCTTTTTGGTAATGCAACAATGAATAGACCTGTCAATAATGTTGTTCTTGCACAATCTTTATTGTTAGAGTCAGAAAAGGCCCTGCTTGATTTTTCTGTTCAGTTCCAGAGAAATGGGTGTCTGTCAGCTGAACGGATTTGGTTGATAAATAACTGGGAGAGATCTGTATGACTTTATATGCAGACACCACAGCTGACAAGATAAATGCTCTTTGCAGTGTTTTTATGCCAGTGTCTTATAAATGATAGCATGAGAATCCAAATCTATTCCCTCTTGTAATCTAAGCAAATCTCACATGAGAGTCAACCAAGAGGGAATAGAGTCAGAAAGTCTTTTAAAATTATTTTTAGTTAATTGCTATTTGCTGACTTTGCAAGATGTAAGATTACCTTCATATGTGGATTAATGTTCTTTCTTAGGTCAGCTATTGCTCCTAACATTTTCAGTGTGCCTGAAATATCCAAGTTAATTTGTTATCTATTACAGTAGATGTGCATTTTATGTGCATCTTTGCATATGTAGCTGTCAGTTATCAAGACATCACACGTATTCTAATGTCAAGTATATTGATGACAATAAATAAATCCAAATTCAAAATTTCACAGTTCTTATGGTATTTAATACTGTGAGAACCATCATCATGGGTGTACTGGATCTGTAAATGCCTCATGGCAGAGATTAGCATTTTCATTAGGCTGTATTGGCTAAAAGGAAAAAGGAACAGGCTCTTCAACATTTGAACACGTACAACTGGGTTCTCAGCCATACCTTGATAAAACAGCTTGCTAAAAATAGCACATATATGCAGAAAGCTTACAGTCAGAAACACTCAGTTCCTAGTCCTAAAACTCAACGCCAGGTTTGAGTGAGCAAATCTATTTCTATGATCAGTTTTAGTACTATTTCTGTATTATCCCATTTCAAAAGTGATTATTATATAACGAATTACAGATCAGAACAACTCTGATCTGTAAAGGATTCCTAATACCTTTTTGCAGTTGTACAATACACTGCATATAGAAGACAGAAGGAAAAAGGTTGAGAAAGGTTTTTTTTTAATATTTTTATTATTATTGATTTGGCAAAAAATAAAGAACCTCTAGCCAGATAGGAAAACTACATAAACTATACATAAAACCTGGCACATATTCTACAAGAGATTGTCTGCAAGTAAATCAAAGTGGGTCACTTATTACACTAGGTGTTATTTTCTGTATAATAAAAACTTAGCAATTTCAAATGTGACTTCACAGATCACTCCCCAGCAACAGAAGTGACCTGAGTGTTGCTTGTCACATACCAAGATGAAGCACCTGCATCCTGAATCAACCTGTTCCTGCAGCTTTTAGCTCTATTAGGCTGAAAAGACCAGCAGACTGCAATACCAATATCACAGTTGCTGCAAGCCACAACCATATCCAGTATGATTCATAACTCTTACCCAGTCATTCCAGTTGCCTTTTGGGTTCTTGTTGATGATAGGCTGTAGACGTTTCAGAAGAGTTTGGCAAGCATCCTGTTCAGGAGAGAAATTGGAAGAAAATAACACAACATTAACAAAAATAAATTTGGTACTATTTAATACTTATTCAATATGTCTTAGTTGGTATTTAAAATGTGTGTCTTACTGTTCTTAGTTTGAAAGAGCATGGTAGGAGTTGTTATTTTAACTACATAAACAAAAACCTTATTAAGACTTAAGTTGTAAGGACTGGAATCAGCCTGAATCAGTAAATTTAGAACAGGGAAAAGATATAGGATTAGTATAGGACAAGTTAATCATTTCTGTTAGAAGAAACAAGGGTTTAGTCAAACATCTAAGACTTCTGAGGAAGATTTGGATTATATCTGAACACTCACAAATACCATTACTGAGAAATTATGAAAAAGTGATGTTTCTTCTTGGCAATCTCCAATGGTCTTAATTTTGATCCCAAATCTGTTTTCTGTGACATCTCTAATGCTTAAATTTTGGCAGGCATTAAATACCACAAAAAATCAGGAGTTGTGTTAAACTGCTCTTTACCTTCACAGCCATTCCATTGACATCTGTCCCTGCAGATCCCGCTGAGGCACAGGCATTAGGAATAGTTGTTGTGCTTGTTTCACAAAAGTGAATACGCGACATGGGGATATTCAGCTCCCGACTAGCAACCTGTTTTGGGAAGAAGAACATATCCCTGTGCGTTTCAGGAACATTCCAAACACTCCAACAGCTCCCCTGTTGCTTCTCCAAGCATTTTTCCAACCTCCAGCCGTAATCATTCTGCAGAGTCTGTCAGTACAGAGTTAAGTAGTTGATTTTGCTGTTGACTTCCTGTAAGAACTTCTTGTAAGACTTAAGGCAAAACATGCAGGCCCACATCCAAAGGGTTCATTGAATTGGTAAATCTCATTATAGCAGTGTCTCAGTCATTCATTAAACCAAGAAAATAATCTCATCTCTTTAGATTGCATCCTAATCTGGAGATTAGCTCTCTTTTTTGTATGTTGTGAGGGATCAGGCCCAAAAGATCTTATTTGTAAAGAGCATTTTGATGTACCTTTTAATAATAAAAGTTAAATAATCTGTTTTCTTTTCCTGTTGTCTCCTTATCTTAATGAAAGCACCTTCACTTCCTAACACTATAGATCCAACAAACTGGCAGCTATGCTGATAAAGAAATTATTCTGTGTGTCTTGCTTCAGCTGCTACAGCAACCAAGAAGAAAACCTTCCCATCATTTACCTGCATGACAAATAAAGCACAAGGTAATATTTATTCTCTAGTACCTGGATCATTTTTGTATGAATACCCTGTCCCATTTCAATTCCACCATGTGTTAGAAGCACAGACCCATCAGTATAAATATGAACTAGAGCGGCAGCCTAAAAAAGAAGAGAAAGAAAAAGAATTAGACTGAACTGGTGAGAAATGTATTGTATAAGGTATGGAGATGAGGGACCGAAAGTGAAAGCACAGAGTTTTGGAACATATTTTGATTTTTCTGTTCAATGTCTTTGAATAGAAGGCAAAATTTGAATGCTAGCCCCTGTTCTTCAATGTGCATCAAAAGGAAAAGATGCAAACCTTTGGATATCTGCTTTTCCTGTTTCTAGATCCTAAAAATAAAGCTAACCCTGGCAAATGAACCCTGGTGGTACCTGAGAAAGGTGACGTGTGCCTAATCCAAATGGAAATTTCATTGGAACAATAGCAATCCCTTTTTTCTTCCAGTAATTTTGTTTGTTAAATTCCTTGATGGCTGTTTTCCTCCTGTAGTATGCAGACTTCTCCATACATTCATTCCAACACCGTATTAAGTTTTCTGGATCAAGTCGTTGTTTGAAATGTGTCTGCTCATTCTCCCTGTACATGTTTATTTCCCTAACCTGAAATAAGAAAATCAACAGAAACCACATAATAATTCTAAAATCTTACTGACCATATAGGGGGACTAGTAGACAACAGAAACATAACTGGGTTTTTTTTGACAATTATGAGTTTGGTTCCATTTGCAAGAGCATGCTATTCATTCAGACACTAATAACAAAGTATTTATGAATTTTAGCACAAATTACGTTTGCCTTAGAGAAGATTTGTTCAAACAGTTGAGCTAATCCAAGGTATTTTAACTTTCCAACCACACAAGCTTTATTTCAGAAAAGAAGATGTCTTCATTTTTTTTTTTTTTACCTTTTCTGGTGATAAACCAGTTTTATCTGCAATTCCTGTTATCCAAGTTTCTGTCACTAATGCTGACTGGGGGAAACCAAACCCTCTGAATGCCGTGTTTGATGGCAAGTTGGTTTTGCAAGCATAAGCCCAGCATCTCAAGTTAGGAATCCTGTAGGCATTGTCCATTTTTAATAAGGATACTTCTGCTACCTAGAGTAGGGCACAAGCAGATACAGTTAAATGTCAGAGCAATACTTCTTTCACATTTACATTTAGTTTTTTCTTTCTCTTTCCATAGAAAGGCATTGAGACAATTAGCTTTAAACTCAAGTTTCTGTAAATCACTGGCAATAAGAATACTATCATCCATAAATGCAAACTGATGTCAAGAAGCATGATACTACATTTCAGTTCCTTTTTTTTTTAATATTCAGTTCTTTTTGGAATATTCATAGAACAAAGCTGTTGCTACTAACAGCTGAGTGAAATTGATTTTAAGACTGATTTTGCTTCTGCTTCAAAAATCAAAAGTCATATAAAATTAAAAATAGAGAGGTTAGACTTAAAGCAATAAGAAATATGAAAAAAAATGAAAAGCTGTGAAAGCATTTTGAATTATCACGTCCTAAAGGAATTCACAGTAAAGTTCTAGATCTGGCAGAAACCATAATAATTCCAGTTTAGAGTGTCTTCTGTTTCTTATGTTTGTCTGTTTAGAAATTCCACATGATAAAAAGTAAATCCGTATTAGCTCAAAATAAGTAGATTAATAATAAGTTTAAAAATGTCTTGATGTCTCATGAAGAGGACACTCGTTCTCTTCACTGTCAGGTTGTTCTTAGAATGGCAGATTTAACCCTGCACTCCTAGTGTTTCCACTGAGTTTAGAACAACAAACTTTAAAACATTTCTTCGCAAAAACGACTGAAGGGAGTTTTATTGTATTAACTGTGCATATGAGTAATGGCATATACTTGTCACAGCAAGTACAAATGGAGGTACTATGTATTTTAAAGGAATAGATTCTTAGCCAATATGTTTACAATGGGAAAATAAGCTTGAGAAACAGTTCATAAAGTTAACCTGTAAAGAAATACCAAAAGCTGTATAGTACGCCACCAAAGAAGGAAACTCTGAGATGTGTGTTTTCTGACATGCCCAGAGTCTCCATAGCAGAAGGATATATGCATAATCCTGTACCTGTGCAAGGGAGGTGGCCTTCATCATTTCACAGCTATTGGTTCCATCATATTATAAGATTTGTCAGTTTAGAAAATCCTTACCAGGACAGATTCATCAGGGGTGCATCCTCCATTAATGTAAAATTCGGCATCCACAGCTACGATCCTACCATCATTCATGAAGCCAACCTACAGGAGATCAACACAGCCTTCTTAGATTGTGTTATTCATTCACTTTTCAGTGCTTGGACTTTTTGCAAATGAATGTGAGCCACATAATCAGTGCTATCCTGTGCTATTCATTTCCCACTACGATTCACTGGAACTGTAGAAAGGCAGAAGTGAAAAGGGCTATGGGCTTTCCCATCTGCCACCTATGACCTTTATAGGTGGAGTGTACAACAAGCAACACGAGCCCCATGGCAGATAAAGAAGCCCCACGGGCAGCCCCTCGTCCATGTGTGCTGCCTAACAGATGACTGAGAAGCATTTTGGGTCGCTTAGCAATGTTCCCTGCAGGCAAAGTCAAGTCTCACTCTGACTCTGTAAGAATGGTGCCTGGCAGACACCAGACTGATAACAGCACAGACTAGCTTCCTCCATAGGATGAGTTTTCCTGTATGACACTGTTTCCAAGAAAAGCTAGCGACTCTTTTGATTGAACATGAACATATGGAGGACTTAAAATAAATCTGTGCAGATGTTTGAACTAGTAACAACATTTGGCTTCCAGTTTCCAGAAAGAAAGAAGGAAAAGGACGTGCACTGAGGGGAATCCAAAAGTGCACAGATAGAAACAGGTGCAAAGAAAGGTTTGTACAGCAATTATATCTCTTGGTTTCCTGGCTAATGGTTTTATTTTAGATTTGAATTGGTTATAATTATTTTCATTAATAGAGCAAGTATTAACCACGAGTATTAATCTCATTCATAGACCATGGACAGGTATTTTTGGACTGAATACTTGTGGCACTCACTTTGTATTTACCGATAAAAGGATGTCGGCCGCCAGTGATTAACATATCATCCCCTCGACTCAGAACAAGACGAACTGCTCTGCTGGTTCTAAATCAACAAAAGATAAGTGACAATTTCAGACAGAATTAGAGAAGTTATTACTAGCTTTCCTCATGAATGCAGGTCTAGCAATGCATGTAAATATATATTTAGACTAAATTTAGAAGATTTAAATATATGCTTAAAGCTATGTATATAGTTCTTTTTTTTGCATTTGGAATCATGTCCATTTGCACTTCACCTCTCAAAAGAGGGCTAGACAACACGGGGCATATTTCTTTAGAAGAAACTGACATTAAAGTTTAAGACAACTATATTCAGTGAGGTAATAGCTCTTAGAATTCAGCCTGAAGCAAGAGTTACCTCTTAGCTATTCAGATTAGAAGATCACTGTAGCTAAGACATGTTGTAGCATGATGTGCATTCTGTAATAAATCAGCTATATGTACAAATATAGAAGAGAAGGTGTCCCCTGACAGCTAACTACCAGCCCCAGCCAGAGCATATTGTCTTGTTGGATCTTGGGTGTGAGCTGCACATGTTAATTCTCAAAGTAGCTCAGTTAGAACTAGCAAAGAAATACCACCAAGTAGATTTAAGTTAATTTTGACTGAAAAAGGTTGAGGTCTAAAAGAAGCTCCCAAAAGCAGCTCCACATATAATTTCTTCCACTGGCACAGCAGAATGCTAAAGATAGTCTCAGATTAATAATGCAATATTTTGAATGTACATACAAAGCCTCAGCCTCAGAGGCTGGTGTTTGATAATGGTCAACCATTTCAAGATTTTTTCTGGCTTATACTAATCTTGATTTCTTCTGGTCTCATCAACTTGAGTCTAGATCATCTTAAAACAGTGCACCAAAACAAAACAAAATGAACAACAACAAAAAAATCTAGTGAACAACTTTACAAAATGTGAATACTCCAGATTTTACGGCTCTTTCGCTAGAGGCTTGGGGAAAGGAGAAAGCATTTTAGCCAAGCTGCCAAACTTGTTCACCCAGTTTTCTCCTTGTAGCCCAATACACACATACACGCACTTACTTTTTTGCAGCCACTGCAGCAACTGATGCCAGTAATCCAGCTTTCAGGAGCTTCCCACCAAAAGCTCCACCAATTCGTTTGACATGACACATGATCCTGTTGGCTGGAACACCTAAACTTGCAGCTACCATCTCCTGTAAAAGCAATTTCTATCTTTTTATCATTACCAGGACACTTTCTCAGCTCAAACTAGCCATAAAATTTAGGTTTTGCAAACCTAAAGGTTTTCCAAAAGATAGTTCCATAGATGCTAGCAAGATTTTCAGCTTAAAAGAATTTTTCCCCTCATGTAAGTTTAAAAACAAAAGATAACAACAAACACTCAGTGCTGTCTGCCTTCAAAATCAGAACCATGGAGAATGTGAAAGGGCCAGAGACAATAGTGAAAAATAAACACCCTTAGATTTCATTATCCAAACTGTGAGGGTAAAAAGTATTAAAATATACTTTTCGTTATTTCCATTAATAAAATCATGCAGTTGCTTTTAATTATTTGTAAATACGGTTTTCAGTAATCTAATCTACATGTGTCAGGAATGCTCTTGTTTCAAATCTCTGTTATTCACCATTTTCTCAAAGGCAAAGTTCTTCATACTTCCCAGCTACCGGTGGTATAAAAGTAATGGAAATGACTAAGGAACTGAACAACAAGTTTGAACACAAACCACTTATTTTTCCTCTAAAATGCTGTCAGTTCTGTGCACCATGTAGCTAGAGCTATAGAGATTGTAAGCTATGTCAGAGTTTGTCAGTTTTTCCTTAGAGCAGAGGTGTCCCCTAAAGCTATCAGGGTTAAAAAAAACAGACAGACTGTGCAAGGTGCTGATTGCTCCCACCTATAGGAAGCTATTGGGAATGGAGGATCCTCAGCATTCCATAGGGATTTTCTCATGCCTGCACTAGTAGGACATGGCACTTTGATCAGAGGGAAATAAGAGACTTTCACCTCCTCCTTATGCTGATGACAGAGTGATCTGTGTACACAGCAGTACTACAAAGCAGCTGTTGTTGCATAATCCAAATATACAATATTATGTTCCTGCTGCTTCTAAAGTGTTTGTGTGTGGTTTACAAACCTACCTACAGAGCTCTGTTCTCACAGATTCTCTGAGAATTCTGTGTATTACCTGGATAAACGCTGGATGTTGCGTTGACACATATACATCCATTTCTCTATCCTCTCCTTTTGGAACAGCGAGCACGGTCTGAGTCTCCATGTAAAAATGTTCCTGTCCCCCAATGTGAATCACTCCTGATCCAAAAAGAAAAACATAAATGCTACTGAGAGAAAGAGAAAAAAAAAAGAAAAAGATGGGAAACCGGAAAGAATCAACTGGCCATCATCATGCAAATTCTAGCAGTCAGTGTCAAATCTTCCGACGCATCATTTATGAAGGAGCAACATTTAAAATAAAAACATAGATCAAACTCTTAACTGATTTTAATTGGCCTGGTTTCAGTGAAACAGGAGAATTTGATTAATAGCAGATTAACATTATCTACAGATGTTGAGAATATTAACTAGAGCATAGAAAGGCATGTCCACATGCATTTTGTAACATGTCCAAAGCAAGCAAAAGCAAGGACACAGTGAACAGAAGGCCACCAAGGCTGTCAGGGGTCTGAAGCACCGTGTGGACAAAGACAGGCTGGCAGAATTGCATTTGTTCTGCCATAGGAAGAGAGGGGTAAGGGGGAATTAAGTAACTGATGGGAAGGCACAGAGAATAAAGAGCCAGACTTTTCTCAGAAGTGCACATTAGAAGCCTGAGAAACAATGAAGAAATTGAAACATGAGAAACGCCAACCTTATGTAAGAAAAACAACAGTTACCATGAGGGTGATCAAACACTAGAACAGAGGCCCACGGAGTTGGTGGAGTTTTCACTCCAGGAAATATTCAAAACTTGACTGCACAGGTCTGAAAAATCTGCTCCGACCAGACCTGCTTAGACCTAAATTAGTACGTGATTCAAGGGGAGATAAGGCAGAAAGCTTGATTCTATCAGGATACCAAAACCACTGGATTTAAACATGCTTTCTTCCAGAGGACCAAAAGCTTTTTTAAGCCTAAAGGCCAAGTTATGACACTACTGGAAAAAGGCAGAAGTGCCCCAAGTCCAAATACTGACAGATTTTTCTCACAGAACATATTCTACGATTTACCTTCGAGTATTTTTTCAACAGTTTCAAATGCCTGATCAACATTTCCTTGTTCTAGTTTTCTTTTTGGCTCAAAGAACGAGTTGTGTTTTACTGCTTCCTGCAGCAGAGAAAAAGACGAACAGCTTCAGTATTTTTTAAGTTTTCAGTTTACAGTGGTATCTTACTATCAGGGACAACACATTCCTCTGGATTTTCGAACAGTCAGTTACCAGAATCAGCTAACATCTCTATTTCATCATTCTACTACCACAGTTCATGAATTTATCGGTTGATTTCCAACAATGCTTTCCTGACTTATTTTGTCCTCTTGATGGTAGCAATTTTATCAAGGGAGTTCATGCAGTTTATTCAACAGACCATTTCCTCCCCCACATGTAGCAAAAGACCAAGAGAGCACACCATAATCTTCCAAATGTGTCCTTTGCTCCTTACTTCCATCTATTTCAACAATTCATCATAACTTTATTTCCCCTATGATTCCCATATCACATTTCCAAAATGTTCTATATCCCTAATATCTCTCCTGCCACATACCCCTAACACTTCCTGTATTTCCAGCTCGGATTTTTTGGCTAGCTGGAAAAAATGATGCTGCAAACAGGAGCAGAAAATTAGCCAGTACACATATGCTGACTGATCAGAGGCGATACCAAACTAAAAATTCGAACCTGTCAGAGTGCTCACTGTCCTTTCCTCACTGAAGACACTAAAGAGTTTTTCTTTTCTTTACTGTGATGTTGTTATGAAGTTTATAGGACACTAATAATTTTGACACTGCTGCCTATATATCAAAAGCAGACAAAGCCCACAGAATAAAAAATTATTTTAGGGATGAATGATGGATTGACGTGTTGGCTATTCACACTCCATTTGTTTCCTTAGAATATTATGTTGAAACCAGCAAGTGAACAGTGAACTTTCCTTGCCTAAATACATAAAAATAAAATTTAAAAAAGCAAGAATAAAAGTGATTGGTACCTCAATTGTCAAGATCACTGGCTCCAATACTTCATACTCTATCTTTACTTTTGCAGCTGCTTGTTTGGCATGAACATCTGAATCTGCAGCCACAGCACAGATGATCTGGCCAACACAAATTACCTGTAAAATATACATCACTTAATAGAAACA